GGGAAACTGGAAGAGAAATACCCCAAACTGTCTGTTCTGCAGCCGGGACCCAGACCGCTCAGCCCTCCGGTGCCTGGGCCCCGCCAGCTACAGCACGGGCGGCGTGGAGCCGGCTCACGGCCAGAGCCAAAGGCTCAAGGGGACAACAGAGCTTTTTCTGGCAGGACACAGCTTTGCTCGTGTGACCGGTACAAAGGCTCGGCTAACTGGGACCAGTGCTCAGCCATAAAGGGAACGGATGCCCGAAGCAGAACGCTCCCAGTCCCGCCGTCGGCTCCTCCCTGACAGCCGTCCAGCTCACCTTGCCCGAACGCGGCGATGCTCTTCTTCAGCGCGTCGAGGTCGCACGTGAACCGCGCCACCCTGCCCAGGTCCTCGTCGTACTTCCGTTCGCTCACAAAGTGCTTCACAGAAAAGGCAAAACGTGCACGTTAATTCAGTCTGTGCACAGGAACAGAAAATGGAGGTGAAAGCCTCCTCCCTGACAGCCGTCCAGCTCACCTTGCCCGAACGCGGCGATGCTCTTCTTCAGCGCGTCGAGGTCGCACGTGAACCGCGCCACCCTGCCCAGGTCCTCGTCGTACTTCCGTTCGCTCACAAAGTGCTTCACAGAAAAGGCAAAACGTGCACGTTAATTCAGTCTGTGCACAGGAACAGAAAATGGAGGTGAAAGCCTCCCGTTTCGGCCCAGGAACGGGTATCGGAGTTGGGTGCTGCTTGAAAAAAAAAACTTGGCGAGAAGGCAGATGGCTGCAACGACTCACAGAAATGGAAAAGCAGATTTTTTTCTCAGCATCGTTTCCACCCACACACAAACAGCCTTCCCCAGGCCCCAGCAGCCAAGCCACAGGTTAACTCAATCCGGCAGCGGCCCCGCTCTGCCCGTCTCTGGTCTGTGCAACCAGCACAGCCCCGGTCTCCGGGCGCTCACGGGGGCACCAGGTTTCTCGGCTGCACTAATCCTGCTACAGGCGGTGAGCAGTTTTAAGTTTTCAAACCGGAGTTTAATTGATGCAACTTCGCACTGACCTCTTGCGGCAGGCGTCGGCGTGCTGGAGCGCAGAAGCGTTTTACGGACTATAGAAGTCAGTCACGCGCAGCGGGCAGGCTCTCCCCATTTGGGGGGAAAAGGCAGAGGTCAGCCTGCGCCCGCGGGAGGTTTTCACAGCTGCTCTGAGCGCAAAGACGCAGCCTTGCCGCGTTCCCTGCTCTCTGCCAGCTCACGATGGCTGAAAGTCGGGCTGCAGGCACCGGGGTTAATGTCTGGATGATCAGTTGTTGGCTGAAGTCAGTATTTTACAAACCAAGTATTTTCAAGTAAGGTGTCCGGTATCCCGCTGCGTGGCTGCATGTACAGAGCACTGGCAGTGAATTTTAGAACCATGGGCGCAAGGGAAAGCTTGCACGCAACACGAAACTGCATTCGGAAGCTTTGGAAACTCAGAAGGTTACAACAAAGCCACTGTTGAGAACTGTTAGGATTAATAGCTTTGCTTTGCGCTAGAAGCTAAAGTAGCTGAAGCCTCAGGTCGCAAGAGCTGCCCGAGAATAAACTTTCTGATAAAACTAATGCTGCAAACACAGAACTCGCTGAATCCAGTGGATACAAGCGGAATTAAGAGGATAAGGACCAGGGAAACAACTCCAATGAGGTAACTTCAGAAGGCGGCCAGCCCCGCGACCTAGAAAACCAGTAAGTAATCAAGTGACCGCCGAAGAATTAAGGGATTGCATTTGGGGTCAGGTGCTGGGTGGTATGGGTGTAACTGGGGTGCACGCTCTGGGGTGGGGATCCCTCCTCGGAGGCACCAGCTCGAGCTGCTCTGCATGTTGGATAAATAAACCACTTATTTACTCGGCAGATTGGTGACTCTTCTTCTTCGAGCAGGAACCCAGGGCCAGGCCCTGTTGAGGTGTCACCGCGTAATTCCTACCACGGACTAGGTGGCGGCTGCGTGATTCCTGCAACGCCACCCTTGGGTGAGATTAGGACTAGGGTGGATTAGACAGCAGCGGAGTGAAAAGCTCACCTTTATGTCAGCTCTGAGCTCGACCAGCTGCTCCTCCGACATTCGCACTGCCACGTCAGTCATCTTCTTCAGGGCTTCTGCCTTCTTCTGGCGGCTGACCAGAATTTCCACTGAAAAAAACCCAGACCACAGCTTAGGCAGCGTCGACACCGAACCAGCCTACCCAGAGTTAAAGCGCCCAGCCCCGGCGCGCAGCACCTTATTGGTAAGCGCCAGGTTGCCGCGAGTCCCCCCGGACAGCGCTGTGCCAGCTGCGCAGCAGCCCCGGCCGCTGCCTCCCGCGGCGATTTACGTCTCCAGACACAGACCGAACCTGAGCTGGAAGCTGACTCGACGAGCGGCGCGACACGCGGCTTTGGCAGACGTTTTGCTGCTCTCCCCAGGCCGACCGCTTCCTCGCCCCCCCCGGCAGTGGGGCTCAGTGCTGCTGGTGTGGGTGTCCCCATGGATCACCTCCCACCCGCACCAGGAATGCTGAGATTTTCGGGAATGGCCTCCCATGGAGGAGCGCCGTTTTCATCCCGCGGAGAGGATGGTTTGCGTCAGCCGCACCGGGCAGCGAACGCAATCTAGTCGCCGTATATATGGCTGGCTCAAGGCTCAGGGCAAGTTTTGTCTGGGCACAGAGCCACGTATTTAGGAACAATGCGAACAGGAGGTAAATCACAGAAATCTGCTTCGAGGGGGGCTGTCTGAAGAGTGCAGGAACACCAGCAGCTCTTCAGGTGGGCACTTGTTGGTAGAAAGACAGAGTCTTACTTGCTTCTGCTTTCACTTTGTCCATTTCCGCCAGCAACGCCACCTCGCGATCCATCAGGCTGGGGGGAAAAAAAAATAAAATATACAGAAAAAGGGAAGAGATTTAGTATTAAACAAAGAGGACAAGGAAATCCTGCTGCACGAACAGCGGCGGGAGGGTTTCCAGGCGTGCCGGCCAGCGAGGCGAGACCGGCAGATGGCGGCAGGAGCGCGCCGCGCCACGCACCGGGCCCCGGCTTTTGTTCTGGAAGCTGAGGAGTTGTGTGCAGGATTCGCTGGCGTCAAACTTGGCCGGGCTTGGGTCAGCGCAGAGCGCGGCGCAGCGCTCCCGGCAACCCGCTGTGTGCGCGGTCACCTTACTCTGATAAAAGTCGGAGCCACCTTGGCA